ACTTACTTAGCAGGAGGCTTAGCAGGGTCTGTGATGAGAGTCTTCTCCTTAGGAGCTGCGGCGATATTGTTGAGATCGACGGTTCCTTCTTTGTTAGACTGAAGATTGAGCATGAGATCAACGGTCTCGGAGAAGCCTCTCTTGTTTCCCACCGCCGATTTAGCCGGACTCTCTACGGTTTCAGGACCGCCAGGAAGGCCAAGACAGAGCTCCGTGGCCTTGAGATTCATAAGCTGTCCGATCATGTTACTTGTAAGAATGTTGTTTTTTCTCTATGTGAAAAGGGGAATGGATTTGGTAAGAGGGGAAGAAGAAGGGAGAGGGAGAGGCAATAATAATATAAGGAGAGAGGATAGTGGTATGGTGGGGTTTCGTGTAATTGCATGTGCATGTCCTTTGCTCCTTTTTTCTCCTTCTTCATTTGTGGGGTTTTGGACACGTGGGCTTGATTAATAATGTTACTAATTAATTACTTTCTTCGCTGTTATAATTTTTTAAAGTTATACAATTCGTTTGTTTAATTAGCCTTTCAGTTATAAAGTTATGATTGGTAATTGGCAAAGGATAATTTTGTTTTAGCAATAAAGGAAAAAGGTGGTGCAATTTAAAAATCATAATATATTTCAGTACAATAAAAAGTACTAGCTAGTAGAAAAGAAAAAATATACTCCATCTTTTATATTCGTGATTTTAATTAAAACACTATATAAATTAGAACTGAAAGAATATGTCGTCTTAGCTATTGTATTATGAGTCTCTAAGGTCCATGCAATTATAAATCCTAGCTAGTTTGAGCACATTTAACGAGCTAATTTACAATAGTATGAAACGAATCATAGTTTGTAAAAAAAAAAGGGAATCATTAAGTTCTCGAAACATGTCTATATATATTAATTATTTGTGAGATTTTTTTAATAGCCCATTTGTTACACATTGTCTCCTCTGGTCAACTGTTCATCGCATGTTCAGCAAGTGGAATTTGGCGGTGAAATTCCGTTAATCGAATTGATCAACATTCTAATTAGTTTTTGTCAAGTAATACCAGTCATGTACTACTATATTAACTAAACTGAATATGGTCTTCCGGTTTTTTAGTCATCTTTGTTATTAAATGTGCCTTAAATGTTGGGGTGATAAATACTACTACTACTCATTAAAAGCCCGTAGACACACTGTACGTGGTATATAAGCGCAGAATCTAATTATTTGTCTAAGTTCATGTTCTTATATCACTGCAACAAAACATTCTAATTTTGACTATCAATCTAAAATTGGTCAAAAACAGTATTTCTGATTACTACTTAATCAAAATCGATTCATCAAAAATCGATGATCGCAAATGAAATTTGGTCAGAAAATAGTCAAAACATTTAGACCAATAAAAATGGTCAAAATTTTGGGATTGACCAACAAAGTGGTCAAAATTTTGATTATGACCAATAAAATCGTCAAAATTTTTTGATCAATCAAAACGGTCGGAACTATATATTTTGACCAATTTTAGACCATATATTCTAACCAATTTTTGACCAACTTAGATATTTAAATTTTAGAACTATATTTTGATCAATTCGAAAAATTGAAATTAAAATTAAAATATTTGATTCATAATAACTAAAATTAAATTAAATATTTTTAAAAACTTTAAAATATAAAATATTTCAAAAAAATATAGTCGAAAATATAAAATTCAAATTTAAAATATTTGATTTATAATAATTTCAAAATATTCACTCAATCAGCGATTAAAATATTTCAAAATTTNANNNNTTNGGNCNNNNANNNCNNTTNNNNTTTTNANAATGGAGTAAGTGTTATTTTATAGAGAAAGTCAAAGTTTCATCTCTCCCATATTGGCGATGTGAGACAAATACAATAGAAGTGTTCTCCTCAATATTTGGTCGATAATGTTGTGATCAATTTCTGTCAAGTATTTATTTGTCAAAAATTACTCACAAAGTTTCGACCAAATTTTGTTTTAGTCGATAAATGGTAAGAATATTTTGACTATTTACTGACCACTTGTATTAGTCAAAAAAAAGTTTGATCATATTTTGACGAGTTTAAATTTTCATAATATTTTGGTCAAAAATTTGTCAATAAACATTTTGACCAATTTATTGGTAAAAAATTTGGTCAAAAATTAACATGTTTTCTTGACCAATTTTTAATCAATCTTCTTTGTCGCAAGTTTTCGACCATTTTTTGACAAATTTACGAATCTGTTAAAAATTGGTCGAAATTTTTCGACCAATTTTTGACTTTTATATTTCATCATATTTTTTTGACCAATTTATAACGAAAATAAATATTCGTCTAAAATTGATCGAAAATATTCAAAATAGTTTTGACCACAAAAAAAAATTGGTCAAAAATTGATATGTTTTATTGTAGTGTATAGTGAAGAGTGAGGTTAATCTTCTTCTTCCCAACACAAAAATGAACTCAATGCTTTTTCTTTATATTTAATGTGTAAATATTAATGATCCAGACTTCCGGTGGCTAAGTTAGAGTGAACGATTTGCTCTGTAGATAAAGTTACACTTTGATACACTAACTATACATCTCCACTGTTGAATTTCCAATTTTCCATTAAAAATACCCTAAGTAGTAAAATATCTTACTTTTACACGCCTTAATCCTTATAAATTAGTATAGATGTCTACCTAGCTAGAGTGTATCCTGATTATAGAAAAACTTGTAATTTATATAATTAATTTAGCTAGAAACAATGGCTTAGAGTCTAAAGAGGGAGGCAAAATATAAACACATGCATGTAGTTTTGATGATTTAGGCTAATGTTGTGGAAACTTTGGGAAAAGGCATAACCAAATAATGAGTGAAACCAAGGACCAAAGCCCTGTTTTTTTCTCAAAAGCTCTTTCTATGATTTAGATATTTTTATTCAAAGACACATTCATTGAAATTACTTGAATACAATTTTACATTCACTCTATGATTTTACATAGAGTGAGAAAATCCATATATGGCATAGTTTATTTTAATCTTAATTTAATTGTTCTATGCAGAAAATATATATAATTTAATAATAAATTGAATAAATTTTTAATCTGAAAGAAAACTTTAAACATTTTTCTTAGAGTGAAACAATAAATACTATTTAGTAGCGAATATATCTATATATGTCCCCATATTTTACAAATAAAAATAGAAATATGTAGGGTTAGATTGGTTATTTAGTTTATATAATAGTTGGGTGGTTGAATCGTTTGTTTGTTACCAATGAAATAATCGTTTTAAACGAGCGGTTAAAATGAGTGGTTGAAATAAGTAATTGAAAACTTTATTTATAAGACAAAATGAGGCGGTTGTAAAGAGTTTCACAAACTCTCGTTTAAATAGGTGTTTGCATGCAAGGATTGAATAGTGCACGTTTTGGAAAAGTGTTTGCATGTGATTAATTGTTAGCTTGTTTTTTGATAACTCATAGTATTAATTTCAAAATATTTGTTAATGCATTATATTTTTTAAAATTATTTAAAAAAATTTCTATTATATAAGTTTATTTAATTATACTATTCAACCGTTATAATACTACTTTCAAACTTATATTTGAACAACATTCTGTTACCGAACTATCTTTTCTAACTATTGTTTTTAACCGTTTTATTTTAAACCAA